TCAGCGGCGTCGGCGTTAATTGAGCCAAAGTCAAACATTCTGTCTGGGCCGAAACTAACCCATCACCTATCTACTGGCACTGACCCACAGGTAATACCACCCCCCCACCACTACTCTAGCCACCCGTCCCATTACTTCAATTAGTGCGAGGTTTTCCTTTCGTTTCCTTTTCTTTTCCCTTTTTTCTTCTTTTCGTTTTTGGCTTCGCGTGCTGCAGGTTGTGTGTTAATTTGATTTTATGGAAATAGCCGCAAGAGAATGCCGAAGAAAATTACACCCAACGATTGCATGTGAAGCACACACAGAATATTGCAAAGGGTTATACGATATCCCAGCCCAATAATACACATACACCGATATGCGCATTATCCTGCCTGTATTTTTCAGTACTTGCAGCAAATACAATCAAGAAAAATCCAATTATCAATCAGATATTTATGACTTGATTGTTTCATGGAGTCTTTGAGGGATAAGCAGACGCCATGGCAGATATATGTAGTGCAGCTCTTGGTATAATATATCTTAGAAAACTGCAGTCAATCAGATATTTATTCCTCGGTTTATTCTTCAGTTTATTTTTCGGTTTATTCTTCAGTTTATTCTTCGGTTTATTCTTCAGTTTATTCTTCGGTATTTGATCTTTTGAAGAACCTTTTTTATATTTCCATCAGACTCAGACTCTTTTGCTCTCCCACTGCCACTCAATTATCGGCTGGTCTGATGGACATTCTGATTCGACCACCAATTGAGAGTTGAACAATCGTATAATTCCACCGTTGGATAGGCTTCTCTATTCAGAGATATTGATTTTGTAGGATATTAAGCTTCCACAAACTCCCCGAGGACTTGCCACGGCACCCTGCTGTGTCCCGCTGTGTCCTGCTGTGGGATTTTAGTGCGTACAACGGTGCGTATGATTGACGCGGGCTTTCTGGCTAGCAATTTGGATACGTTCCAAAGGAGTTCCAAGGAATAACCAGCCGGTTGGGGCAGTGGGCGCGTGGGGGAGGACAAGGCAGGACAGGACAGGACAATTGACAACCATCTTGTTTGGCAAATAAACGCGTACCATTACCACGAAACTAAACTGCTGTCTCAATATTATTATTATTATTATCATTTCTATGGCATTTGGCCCCAGCCCCAGCCCCGGCCCTTGCCCCTGCCCCAGAACCCCATTCAGTCCGGCCTGCTCCCAGTACCAGTGCTCCAGCCCCTGGCCTGTCCATGTGTCCGTGTTCTGTCCTGCTGTTTTCTTCGGTTTATGTGCTTCTTGTTATTTTTTGCCACTTTTTATGCGACACTCAAGCATCTCCACCTCCCAACTGCTCTGCCATGGTCCCATCCCTATTCCTGTTTGGCTGTCAAATATTTCAACGGAGAAACGAGAGGCTAAAGAAAGTGACAGCTGTTAATGGCATTATACATTTGTGCGGCTGACACGCCTCCTGCGGTTGGGTGGTTGGGTGGGTGGATGGCAGGCAGTCAGTCAGGTAAAGTCCATCATCATCGGTTTGATTGAGCCCGGTGCTGGAAGTGGGCCTATGCTGTCACAAATAAAAAAAACACACGCCGAATGTGATATTTTGATACCCTTGAAGAAGGCCTTACGACTGGTTGGCTGCATCTATCAGGCATAAGGGTATCTATCCCATGCTTCTGTCCGCTTCAAAGTTATTGAACTAAAGTCAAGTCTTTGGACTTTGGACATTTAAGGAAAAGATTCTTTTTTTATTGGCCTGCGATTCTGCCTGTTTATGGCCACTGCTGCTGGCGTCATAGCAATTTGCATTTTATGGCCAGAAATGATTTGAAAACTTTCGAGTTTTAAATCGATGGCATGGCCAGCCAACCAGCCAGCCAGCTGCTGCTAATTCATTCGACAACGAACTCTTTTATGAGCTGCAGAAGACCAGGACCAGGAACCAGCAACCAGGGACCACGATAGGTCAGTCCATCCATCAGTTGGTACAATCAATCACTCAAACAATCAATCGCATCGAATCGAATCAAGCCTTACCCCCCAATAACATGAATAAATATTTTTGGGTTTATCGCTAAAATAAAATTGTGCCTGTCCGGAGCTCACGATGAATTAGTCCAATCAGTTGGACAAAAACAGCAGCATTATTGATGCATACAAAGGGCTGTGCTAAGTGACCAAGTGACTAAGTGACAACCATGACCTTGACCTTGAAAAAGAAGCGTTTTAAAGAGTCCTTTGTTGGGAGGATACTGAGCAACAGATAGAAGTTTAATTAAATGAAATAAAAGTACAAATTAAATTTGGGAATATTTGCCTATTCTATTGAAAGTTTTCTTAATTATTGACTGCAGTTAAATGAGTATATTCGAGCTGAAAAGTCACTCATTCAATGGCCAACAAAAAGAAGTAGTTAGGCAACGAACCAACCAGAGAAAACTTTAGTTTGACTTACAATTAACGTAAGCATTATCCAGTGCCTTACACAGTGGTCGACCCCCTACACCCCATCAATCGATAAAAAATTTGGTAATAAAAGTGTCCCTTTTGCATTTTGGAAATTAATTTTCTGTTTGGCCATAAATTAACATTAATTTCGTGCCTGAATAGCCTCAACCTCAACCTGAACCCTTTCCCCCGTCTCCACTTGCTTGTCTTTGTATCGTAAAAATGCAATTATAAATATTAATGTAATCGATGGCGGTTAAGTTGGCGGCAGATAACTGGCCCATGGACTGCCAATTGCTGATTGCTGTCAGTGTTCATTCGTGTCGTACTTCGTCGTGCGTCCTGCGTCCTTTTTCATTCTATTTTGTCAGCTGGTATTCTGTATTTTCGTAGGCTAATGGATTGTTTGTCCAAATTAGTCAGAGTAATCCATCTTCAAACGGACAGCTTTGACTTGGGAATAAACATTTGGCGGCAGTAGTTGAAGGGAAAAGGGTTCTACACAGGAAGGTACACTTCCCTTTCCCTTTGTCCACTGATGGCAGTCAAAAAATACATAAGCAGTAGGTAGGTTGGAGTATATGAGCTATCAAAGAATAAATACGTTCTATTCCTCCATCTCGAATCTCGAATTAAGTGGAAACAAAGTTCATTCTAGACTTGCTATAAACTGTTCAATCCCATGCGCTGCAGTTGACTGCCAGATCTTGTATCACTTCGGCAGAGCAATGAATAAATGTTAGCTTTCTTTTTCAGCAGTCAGGTGGAGCAGCTCTTATCCTGTGATTAACTTGCTTTGAGTTAACCTTCGTCCCTAAGCTGATGGGGGAATTTAAGACGCAGGTTAATTTGCTATATAATTGCTCGGTTTGAGGCAAGTGCTCTGCTCCCCCCTACCACTCAGTATCAATTAGCCAGATGGTCCAGACAGCGACAAATCCTTTGCCAGTCGGCCCACTGCTGCTGCTGCTGCACAGAGTGAGTCCTGACCCTGACTCTGCTACTCTGTTTGTTGGTTGAGGTTTTTTCTCTGATTTCCAGGGGCAAATGGCAGATTTGTTTGTCTGGCAACAGGTTCAATCAGAATGTGCCATCTAGCCATTGCCATTCTGCAGCCATGTACACTGGCGCCACTTGGCCGCGAAAAGGATACTTGTTGCACCATCCATACACGTACGTATCTGGGTCTGGGTTCTGGGTCTGGGTTGTGGGTCGGGGTCTCGGTCTCCGTCTCTGTACTGTGTCTGGTTTAATGTTTGGGTTTGTCATTGTTGGCTGGCTGTCATACAAAAACTCCCATTCGCAGTTCATTCATAACACACAAGAGAGAGCGAGAGAGAGAGAGAGAGCAAGAGAGGCGGCACGGCACGGCACTCATTCAGAGAAAGAGACTGGCACACAGATAGGGAGAGGACATTGCACTTTCATTCATTAAAGTCCTGCGATGTTGTCGTCGGTGAGTGTGTGCGGGGGGGTTGGCTTGGGACTACTACTGGATGTTCATATGTGTGTCATGGACTTTTGTATGCTTTGAATTATTTAATACAGACCGCTGCGACTACATTTGCTGCTGCTGCTGGCACTGCTGCTCGACGGCTGGCGACGGCCGCTGCGCAGCGACGCAACGCCGTCGCTGCCAACGTCAACGTACTGGGCCACGTCGCTGCCGTTTGTCGCCGCTCTCTAACTGCACTCAAAGCTGGCTCTCACAGCGAGGACCGCAGCAACAGAAATCCACAAACAAAATGTTCACACACCGAAAAAAAATTGGCAAAAATATTTATTGTATATCTTGTACACACTCACGCACACAGTGGCTCACACACTTGTGCGCGCACACACACAGAGGCAGTGGCAGTGGACCGACAGACCGACAGAACGACAGAACGACCGACCGACCGACCGGGTGATAAGAGCGCGAACAGCGGCAGCTGTGAGGGTATGGAGCGAGAGAGAGAGTGTGAGAGAGAGAGCGCGTTGAGTGGGGAGCAGCAGCGGGGCCGGCGGCAACAAACTTTTTATTTGTATTTACAGTTTACGATGGCGAACACGGGGGACTGACTGACTGACTGACGGACTGACTCGCTCTGGGGGGTTGGGGGGTCTGGATGCCGGCTCGGACTCGGACTCGAACTCGAACTCGGGTCTGCGAGGGTGCGGGTGCGGACTCTGCCTGGGTGCTTGTGGCACGTCTGCGTCTTCAACAGCAACTGATGGCAGACGGGAACGGAAGGCCAGGCACCGCCATTGACATGGCAACATGGCATCCTCTCCCTGCCCTGCCCTGCCCTGCCCTGCCATGCCCGGACCTCCACTTTGCCAGCGAAACGATTCACACACGGGTTGGCAGCACGGTGCGACACACAGCTGTTGGGACTGCCACGCCAGCTGCTGGAAGCTGACACCAAAGCTTTTTTAAAGTTGAGCTTTTGGAAGCAGTTAATCCACCAGCTGGCAGGACACACACGCAGGACACTCACTTTGAAGCGCGGCACTTTCGAAACGGGCAACGGGGAACTGGTTACGGGGAATGGATTATGGCACAGGCGGCTGGCAGCTGGCGGCTTACCTGTCTGAGTGCTGGAGTCGAAGAAAGTGCTGGTGGTCTCCACGGTCATGGTGCCGATGGTACCGTCAATGATCTGAGCCGATGAATCGCGACGTCCGCGGTAGCTGCAAAAAGGAGTTGATGGAGAAGGATTATCTGCTGGAATCTTCTGCTGCAAGGGAGTACCCACCGACAGACGTCATCGCTCTGGGAGCTCTGGCGCCGGAAGTTGCGGCAGCGTATCATCTCCTCCGTGGTGGACTGGCGCCGAAAGCCGCGCGCAATGAGGATCTCCTCGGTGGTGGACTGGCGCCTGATGGCGGGTCTCTGGTTCTGTTCCACAGCCGGCAACGGTGGTGGCCGGGAGCACGGACTGGGGATCCCGCGACGAGCCGCAGCTGTTCGATTCGGGCGAGTGGCGGGCCGCCGAGCTGCTCTGGCGGCGCAGCGTGTGTCGCCGTGGACTGCCGTCGCGCTCGTGTGTGCGGTCGGGCGAGAGATGGGTGCGCGAGTCGCGTCGTCCGCCGCGCGAGGCGCTGTCCGGCGAAAGGGAGTCGCGGCGCGAGGCACGGCGCTCACAATCCTCGGGCGGATCCGGGCTGAGGGCTGGCTGGGAGCCGCGTCGACTGCCGCCAGGCAGAACGCTCTCGTCGAAGGCCGTCGCCTGCCGCTGCAGGCGGTTCATGCGCGGTGCGCGCTCCGGACTGTGGCCCGCCTTCGAGTCGCGCCGATTGACGCGGCCGCACTGTGTGGTGGAGTCGCGCCGACCCTTCGGTGCCGTTGGACTGGTGGCCGGCGGCGTCACCGAGCTGGTGATGATGGTGGGCGGCGGCAGGGCCTGGCATGCGGAGTCCACCTGCTGATGGTACTGGATTAGTGGCACGGAGACGGAGTCGGAGTGACAGGAGCCGGCGGAGCTGGTGGAGGGGCGCTGCTCCTGCCGGAAGTTGGGGAACTCCGGGGCGGCGAGCGAGTCCCGCTTCTTGGTCACCTGGTACTTGGGTGGCGGTGGCGGCGTTGTCACGCGGCCGGCGACATTGCTGTCCCGCCGGCTGCTCGACAGGTAGCTCTCCCCGGATCCGCGGCGCGAGGCCTGCGTGCCCAGAAGAAGAGAGGAAGTCGGGGGAGAGAGAGAAGAGTTGCATGCTTGGGTTAAGGTCAAAGGTTAATTGGCAGAGTGGAAGGATTAGTGGAAGGCTTCCTGCTAATGTCAAATCATTTCAGTCACGTCCAGCTTAAAGTCCTTTCAAAATGTTAAATGCTGCAGCTTAAAGAAGTACAGTCCCGTCAAAAGATCGCATTACTCTATCCCTTTCCTATTCATGCGACTAAAAACTAAGTACAGTCTCGTCTCATATTTCAAATCGGAGCATCTGAGGCATCTGGCTGGGAATATTGAATCGATCGTGGAGTGAGAGACTCTGCTACGTCCGTGTTGGCAACTCCAGTCCGGCAGTACAGTCACGTCAAGAGGAGGGGCTCCCTACAAGGCATACTTCAGGCATTCCTGAAGCATTCCTTCCTGCTGCTCTGCAGGATGATGGCAAGGTCATAGTTTTGGTATCAGTGGCCGCAACTCACGCTCTTAGTGGTAGTTTCGACGACCACCACATTCACGGAAATGTGGCTTGGTGCTTGCTCCTCGACGGCGGTGCTCTCGCGCCTGTTCCAGTGCTTCACGAACTCGGCCGTGTTCGATTCGCGGCGAGATCTGATGCTGCGTATGCCGGAATCGGCGCTCGACTCGCGACGCTTGCGTGGGGCAATGTACGTGATATTGCCCCCACTGGTACTGGAACCAGTCCCAGCCCCAGCACCACCAGCACCAGTGCTCGCATCTGTCGTCGATGTCCGCCAGGGCAGGCTGCGGGCGAGATCGGCAAGCGTTTCGCGCCGATTCAGCTGACCCTTGTTGCGGGCCTGCTGCTGGGCCTGTTGCTGCTGCTGCTGTTGGGTCTGTTGCTTGGTGCCGCCGCTCCACTCGCGCAGAATGTCAGTAAGTTGGGCCAAGGAGCTGCGCCGCCGCCGTTGAAGTCCTGGCGGTGGCGACGTGCTCGGTGGGGTTGTGATCTGGGCGGCGGAATCGCGACGTCCGCCTAATCGCTGACGGATCGTTGACTCTTCCAGCTAACACCAAAGGTATACCAAGCATTAGTCGGATAAATCATGATGGCTATCACCCAGTAGATGCACTCACCTGTTCGCGGACGAGGTCGTCCCAGCCGTTGCCACCTGACCACACCAGACCCACCTGATGTGACATGATGGGCAGGTTGCACACAAAGCATACCGCTGTCATTGTCCTGCAACGAGACGAGCACACACTCAGCACGGAACGCACACATCTTGGCACACAACAACTATCTATCTATAGGCGGATGCAGTTAGTATATATTGTATGTATAGTTATAGGTATTCGTGTGCAGAAGATATTCTTGGATAGGCTGAATAGGCTGAGATCGGTGGAGCGCAGTGGAGCGGCGGCAGCCATGCAACAGGATGCGTGTAATGTGATGCGTTTGTGGTGGGAGATGCGTGTGGACTGGCCAGCAGAAGCAACAGCTGAAAGCTGCTCAGTTGTGTTTAGGCGGTAGCTTCAGCTATAAATATAGCTCCAAGCTCAGCGCTCAAGGTTGAAGGCTCAAAGTTCAAGTTGAAGGCTGCTCTAAGCTGTAAGCTTTTAGCTGGTAAGCTCTCAGCTGGTAAGTTCTCAGCTTGTAAGCTCTCAGCTGGTAAGCTCTGAGCTTGTTAGCTCTCAGTTATTGGCTCTCAGCTGGTAAGCTCTCAGCTAGTAAGCTTACATTTTATTTACAAAGTAACATGCAATGCAGGAAAAGGAAAAGTAAAGGTAAAAGCTGTGTGCGACATGCGTAGGTTGGTGTTCGAATAGACTTTTGAAGAAAGTTCCAAGCTTCTGCTGCTTGTGGTGTGGTGAAGTTGAGTGTGTTATATAGAGGTGAAAAGTGGCAAGGCCAAAAGCATGAGTTTATAGTTGTCCTTAGAGGTGCAGTAGCAGAGATAGAAGATGATAGATAGCATAGATAGATGGAGTGAATCTTGTTTGCTGTTTGCTGTTTCTTGGATGTTTCTTAGCTCTTAGATAGATGAAGTGAAGAATTGTTGCTAACTTCTTGCGAATGGCCACGCAGCCGCTGCTGCTGGGCTGATCCATGGACCTGTAATGCCGAAGTTTTGACATGGCGCATGGCGTTATGTGTCTGCAAGCGCAGATCCTTTGCTAGTCAATCCTAGATATCCTTTGGGGCTTTGGTTTTATTTCGGCTGCTACTGGTCCTTCAGCTGCGTCTTTTTGTCGATGCCTTTTATTTGATGCTTTTCCTACACCAATTTCGCATCTAGAGTGGATTTTGTTTTTGCTTTTCGCTTGCTTTGATTTTTTGGTCAATAAATTTTATCTCTCTTTTGCATATCTCTCTGCATGGGCTGTGCAACACTGTAAATTGTTGCTTGCATACGCTTTTTGCAACACTGGAAATATGCTTGGGGTTATTTGCACTTCAAAGGTTAACTCTTCATTGGAATGGGTTTGGTTTCGTTTCTCGGGGCCGAATGTGCTGTGAGTTGTACATTAACACTAAAAGTTACTGTATTTAACGGTATTTAATTGTATTCAACGGTATTTAACTGGATTAAACTGTATTTTTAACTGTATTTTGTTTTGCAAGTTGATTGATTGGTTGGTTGTTCGGATCGTTAATTGGTTATTTGTGTGGCTGGGGGGTGGGGGGGGATTATTTGTTGGTTTTTGCTACACACAGAGACACAGAGATACACTGGAAAAAAATTGAAGAAAAGAATATTGGTTTTGGTAATTTAAGAAACATTAAATGGGATTAATATTGGGTAGATTCTCGCTATAAAAGGGATTTTAATCTATAAAAATAGTGGGTGGGGTAGTTAATTTCTCGTTCTCTAGGAGGGGTAGCTTGCATATTCATATATGTATATATGTATTATTATTCTACTGCAAATATATATGTACCATAATAATATATTATTACCAAAAAAATAATATAATAATATACGTATTTAACTAAAAGAGTTTCAGTTTAATCATGCTAAAAATAATTGGTAATAATTTGAAATTAAAAATACAAGTTGGGGGGATATTCCCGCTCTTGTATAGATTCATATTTGGGTATTTTGGGAAACTCCCAACAGTTTGAGGTGTCTTTTATTTGAAGATTGCTATGCCCTGTCTCCTGTCCACCTTTGGCCTCTTTTCTCTTTAAAGTTGTAGCCCACAGATTCAGAAATCTACTTTAAACATTCGCTCTTGAATGCCACAAAAAACGCCCCACTGCCGCCTCAGCCACTTACAAGCGAACCAGAAAATATAGAAATTCTTTTTGCAGCTTGTTAATAATGCAGAAACAATTCAATTTAATTTTGAGAGCAGAACGAAAAATGTTTGCCCAAGAAGTCGCATGGGGGGACATGAAAAGTCCTTGCGGTTTTTGTTTTGTTTTTTTTTTTTAGGGTATGTGCAACGAGAGTGGCCTTGGAGCATGGTCAGCAGGGAGAGCAGCAGCACCACACACACACACACACACACACATACATATGTAGATGGCTGCATTCAAGATCGAGAGTCCACGAATAATCACATAGAGACTGCGGGTCGTATCCTGCGAAGCCAATCAAAATGAAGCATCAACTTTATTTGGCCGCAAGTAAATGGCCATAAACTTAATAACTGGCAGACTACAGGGCCAGACTGATTCTCCCTCTCCCACTCCCACTGTCTCTCTCTCTGCTTTGCGACTGGGAGCGGACATAGACACGAGCGGAAGTTGTCAAGTGGGTGCCAGAGTGGAGTTTCATGAAAGTTGCTCAAAGTGGACTGAGGCTCGACCTGCTTTGTCCGTCAATGAAATACTTTGCCAAAGTAGTTCCAAGCACCAAAGTTTGTAACTTCTCCTGCTCTTCCTGCTCCTCCTCCGCCTTCCTCTCTCGGGTGCGTCCAGTGGGGATTCAAGGGTATGCTGTGGGCATTGTAAAGATGTAGCCATATGATTGGGCCATATTATATGTATAATTTTGAGCCAGGGCATAGGGTATCTCATAGTCGAAAATTATTAGTAAATCTTACTAAATTTCGCATTGCAGTCCGATTTTTCCTACTTGTAGGAAGTTCAGCAACAGCCACAGCAGCCGCTTAATCAATTTCAAGTGCAGCCCGAGCAGCAGCAGCAGCAGTAGCCATCATTATGAGCATCATGAACATCATAATCATCATCATCATCATCGTTGGGCACCTGGCCAGACTTCGCTTCGGTGGCGCTCGAGTGGGCGGGCAGAGCAGAGCAGAGAAGTTGATTGACAGCTGTCAATTTGCGTTGCCCGTGAAGTGTGTGCCATGAACAATTTTCAACTCAATTTTCCCACTTTTCTATTCCAGCTTTGGTCTGCTGCTCTGCGTTGCTTCTTCTTGCTGTTGTTGCTGCTGTGGCTGCTGTTGTGCTGGTTTTTCCGTCCGGTCTGCGGCTAAGCTGGAACAGCTGCACATGGACATGTACTACGGGCACACAGAGTGCTGGCCCATGTCGGGGTCACAGTGGCAGAATCCAAACAAGAAGCAGCAGCAGAAGCAGCTTCTGCAGCAGTCTATGTCGGGATCCGTTTACCCAGCGGAAGTCAAGAGGAAAGAGACAAAAGCGACAGCTTTTGCTTGTACCCTCTCTTGGGTTGCCCAACACTGGAATCGATAGAGCCCATAATTCGATGCCTGTCATCTTTGCACAGAATCTCAAAGGAGATTCAAGCCAATGCAATTGTTTCTGAACTTTAGAAAGCTGCCCCAAAGAGTTGCCTCCAGCAGTGGCAGCCCCATGGAAAGTTAACTCAATATTAAGAGCGAGTAAAAGTTATTCCACTTGAATGGCGGTGGTTAGTCGATAAGTTCAACCACTTATTAAAGTGCAACACACACTTAACACCTGACACTTCACATCACATCAGAATAATGTTAACATTTAAGCTGGAAATAATACTCTCATGGAGTTGCCAACTCTTGTGTGAAGCTGCAATCGAATTAGTTAAATGGGTAATCAAATATTTGCATTGCATTTGATTGAGCTTATAGTTTGCAGTTAAATTAAATTGAATTATGACACGCAAGGTGGAACAAACTCTGCAGCAATTGGACATACTCGGGCAGAAGTATGTCGGTTCAGAACCACAAAAGCTGTGGCTCAAAACTATTTAACGAATACCATACACATACATATAGTACATTTGCATGTATGTATTAGCTTCAGAGTCCAAGGGAGATTTAGCTCGAAACATAATACCGGAAGTTAAGAAGTCTGCTGCCAGCTGCTTGCTGGCTTGCATTTCAATGTGGCTTAAGCTGCGGCTAAACGATCTAATAAAATTGTAGGTACCAAATCCATCAGCTCCATTAATCTGCATTATCCTTAAGAACTCATTGCGCTCGCTCTGCTTTCAATTTGCTTTGCCCCTCCCCAGCCGCCGAGGTGCCAACTCGCTTGAATACAAATTGTGTCTTTCTTTTTTTTACCTTCAGCTTCAGTTTGTAGCACCGCAAAATGAAACAATTTAGTTAAATACCCAACATTTTACGTTTGCTTTTTGCCTTGAATAGGTTGCGGGGGGGCGGTTCTGGTTTTGTTCCTGCTCCTGCTGCTGTTGTGCTGCTGCTGAGCAATAAAATGCAATTCGTTATAATAAAAAAAAGCGAAGCAGAAACAGAAACAGATGAAGCCGAACATTTTGGCCAGTTGGCACCTGCCGGACACCAGAGAGACTTCGACTCCGACTGCGCCTCCTCTCTTGCTCTAGTCTCGCCTTGAGGCCATCCTTGGGGCTCTCCTGATGTCTCCAGTCGTCGTCCTTGTGCTCTTAAGTGACTTTTCATGTTGTGAATGGAGCCTGCTGGTCTGCAGGTCCTGGTCCTGGTCCTGGTCTGCTATTTAGTTAATTTTAGAGCGTCTGTCTCCAGTCCCCGCTGAAATATTACTTGGGCATTGGCCAACAGTTTCCTTTTGATGTAATTGCCGTGCCACACAGTTTGGCTGTGGATGGTCGGGGGTGTGGGGAAATGGGAATGGGTATGGTTTGCTCTGTGGCAGGAGGCGGTTGCTGGGGCAGCTGTGGGTGCGGCTATTCATTGATTAACTGCCAAGGCTCAGTGAAGACACAAGGAAGACAGACAGGAAGACAGCGCTGATGGCCTGACGCTGGCTGGACGGCTCTTGGGGCTATTTTCATTTAACATTTTCATTTTCATTTTCGTTTACGTTTTCTTAATTTTTTTTTT